GAGTTATATTCGGAAAGAATAAACCAGTTTTAAAAAGTTTAAAAACCTGCAAATAGGGATCGTAAAAAAATGAGGAAACAATGCTGGAGATACTGTAGACATTATTTACTCAAACTACAAACCCTTATTTTGGCTCTTATGTTACCTAGAATTATATTTGTTGGAGTCAAAATAGGGATTTGTAGTTTGAGTAAGTAATCCCTATTTGCAGGTTTTTAAATTCCCAATTATGTATCTTGTATATACATGTCTTGTTCTTTTGTAAAACGTATTTTATAATTTCAGTTACTGAAATTTTAAGTGTTTGTTTAAGCATAAGTTATATTTTTGTCGTTTTTTTTTTTGTATCCATTCCGTTGTAAAATATACATTAAAATTCAAATTTTACGAACCAAAAGCTAGACCTGATCCAGGCTATGAAAAACTTCGTTAATTAAGAAGTGAGTCGACATTAATTTGCGAGTCAAATAAGACAAAATGACTGAAGAAAAAGAAATGAAAGATGAGGTAAATTTTTCTGTGACTATATTTTCGTTCCTATTTTAACTTATTATATTAATTTGCCTGTGCATAATATTAACGTTCCATAACAAATTTATATGAAAAAAAGAGAAAAAACAAAAAGAAAAACTGACGGCTATACCTTAACTTGTAAGTTGTATATAATATATATGCTTAAAAAGTATCATTGTAAGGCTAAACACTGTTGTGAGTATTACATTTACAAATTACAGTTAATTGCGTGCGTATATACTATAAGTTATAAGTAGTACTAGTAGGTACTAAATAACGTTAGAACAATAACTTGGATTGTTAAAATTTCTCCCCTAATTGGGATTTGAACCTGGAACTCGACTTTTATCAGACTAACAAAGTTAATTAATGTCACCCTTTAATTTTTCTGAGTTAATCGAAACACTCGTATTCATAATCGTATTCCCGAACAACATGTGGCTTCTAATTCTATAATTTAACCACCACGTTAGAACAAATTAAAATTGCTATAACTATAGCTTAGCTTTAAGTTTCAAAATCTTCCAGCTTTGCCCTGTTGTCCTATTGTCTTCAGCCTTCGTAAAGAAGTAGCCTCTATCTAACTGGTCTCCTGTGTCATTTTGTAAGCTTCAGAATGATTACCTCTTAACCTTCTTTTAAAATAAAATAAAATATTAACATATCCATAACACAATAAATAATTTTCTTAGTAGCTCTCCTCTAACTTCTAAGCCCTCTGCAATAGGGCAGTAATAAATCTTAGATAAGGAGGTCAAACTGTACACAGTATTTCAATATTTCAAGTGAGGCCTAATTAAAGGTAAATATAGAGATAATTACCTCTCTTGTACTGTAATTAAAAACACCTAAAAATTACTAAACATATTGGAAACAAGAGACCAGTGATTCTTCAAGGCTCTCCTTGCACACCTGTCTATGGGAAAAATGAAAATATAAACCCAACCTTTACTTTTCAGGAAATATTTAATTTCCCCTCTTAAATTCCAGTAACTTAGTAAGTGCTGGTCCCCACTACTGACAATAGCAACTCGTTCTATATATGGGTAATTTTTGTCATCACTCGTTACATTTTTATCCACTTTTAATGCATTCACTTTCCCTGGATTGGAAACATATTCATTAAACTTTGTATATCTATGTACACAACTTCTGGCCATAGGTTATATAATAAAGTTGTCAGTTTACAGAAATATTAACTTGCATTTTGTTAGCTGTTACTTGCACTGTGGAAAAAGATATGGAAATGTTCTTTGCTTTTTCCATACCAGTCTTTCCATCAGCTGATTATATCATAAAAGTGTCTGATGTTTTAACTATCTAATATTTAGCAAAATATCAGGAATTACCTAACATATATGAGGGTTGTATCCTTACATTACTGTTATTCACATTACAACGTCCCCTCATCATTTCAATTTAAAATTATTTTATCCCTTCTTGTCACTCTACCTAGTCAATATTTTTCTTTTGTAGTATTGCTTATCTTCTTTCAAGAATGAATTACCAATGTTTGCTTCACTACTTCCTTTCAACCTGCAGATTTTCTCAGCTTAAAAATACAATAATTATGTTAGTTATGGTGATTAAATATGTGCTCCAGAAACATTTTTTTCAAAATTGAAATTTGCCTAAATAAACCATTAGAAAGATATAAATAGATAAAGTGAGTTAACATGTATATTATAAAGCTAAAACTCCTGACCATACACAGTTCACAGGTGCAAGCATTGTGGTGTTTATACATAAACTGATTTCCATGAAAGTATCAAATAGGTCTGCTTAATAAGGGGAGGATTGATTAGGAAATTTGTGAAGTAATATCACTTTGACAAAATGAATGAGTTTTCAGCTGTGAGAATTAACTAAATTGGACATGTGTTGGAAAGTATAAAACAATCTATTAATAAACACAAGAGAGTTGCCTTACTATTGGATTGGGGAATGGATTAACACCATTCTTCCCTCAAGGTAGACCTCTGTAGAACTGTTCACTTCACAAAACTAATCAGAACTGATCAAAACCAATGTTTCTTATTAAAACAGGTAACCTCAGTTTTAGCCAGACTCATTATGCATTTTCATGTGATGGACATTCTCTTACAAGAGACAAAGGCTGTAACCTCCAGATATCAGTGACCTATTTTGACACAAAGGGTGAGGTTGCAGCAATATTCACATGGGCAAAGTAGATACTATCTGCTAGTTAACAGCAGACACAATTGCAACTAGAACAAAACTCTAGTTTTCTTGATTATTTTGTTTATACCAAAACTGCATTAGAACAGACTAAACAAAATTTTCAAAATATATATATCTATTACTAAAAGATGGTGGAAAACATATACCCATATATCACAAAATTACACTAGTTATTCTTAAATTAATTTGAGAATTTGAAGTACCCAAGACTATTTACAGGGACTGGTTTGCTAAATTTTTTAACATTTGTTTCTGTTATAAAAGATAATGATACATGAAAATTTAGTCACTTCAAATTATTTTCTTGGGGCATCACTATTATTCTGATAATCACTTTTACTTCGATTTGAGGCCCTATAAGGTTAAACATTATCACCATTTTTTTTTAATTTTATACATGGTTCTCTTGACACTGTCGCACGTAATACTAAGTTTTCATTTAAAGTTTTTTCACATGTGGCAAATAAGAGATAGAAAATTTTAGGACTTTAAATGGTTTACCTAGTTTGAAATTGTGACTCAAGCTCTTAAACCCATAAAATGTTAAACAATTTGATTTTTGTTAACTAACCTACAATTTTTATATTTTAGTTACTTTTGTTACAAAATATATAACAATAAATACAAAAACAAGAATTTAGTGTTTGTGTAGCTGTCAAATATGCTTTTTAGAACATTAAAAATATATCGAGAAGTAGAATAAAATGTCCCAAAACTACTATAATTTATCTCGCTTGCTAACTAAGCATAATGGGTTAAAAAGTTCTGTTACTGCTTGGAGAAATGACTATTCAACACATGCTAAGTTTTTCTTGTGAACTACTGTCTTTAACCACCTAATATAAACAGTTGTAAGATTATTGTACATTATAATATTGGTTATAAATTTATTCATGAGACATATAGACATGATGTAAATAATTGGCATGAAAATTATGCAAAAATGAAAGGAGCTTCCATGGCGGGTTTTACAAATGTGTTGATATTTTAGCAAATAAAGAAGGTAGGCGGCTCAAGTTTTATATTAACTTTCTTGTCATTATGTATAGTTTGTTTTTTAATTGGTATTAAGCTTCAGCAGTCAATTTTTGATGTTACAAAATTCTGAAAGGGAAATATTGAAGCCAGAAGTGTCACATAATGTAAGTGAAGATTGAGAATTTTATTTAGATATTTCTTTTTGAAATGAAAAAATAAACTTAGATATGGTTATAATTTGAATTATCAACTACATTTTGATGCAAAGTTTATTGACATACAGTGATAATAAAATTGTTTAATTCAATTTGATTGCAGTGATAGAGTTAAGAGAAACTAATTAAAGGATTATGGATTTGTTCAAACATGATGAGTAACTGGTAATGAAGATTTCATACCTTGACACCCCTAAATTATTACAAGATGTTATCATCACCAAAACCTGAGGTTGGATAAAAATAGTTTACTTTTGTTTGGAATGCCTTCAAGTGTGGTGGAGGCAGAAAATTTAACCGAGTTCAAGAAAAGATTGGATGAATACATAGTAGTAAGGGGTGGTTATAGTTGGGAACTGGAAGGGACATCCTTGATAGTCTAATAAGCTCATTTTTGTTCCTTTAAAATTTTATAATTTATGAATTGGTCAGATGTAAACAATTTTGAGGAAATAAATTTATTTGAAATACAGGGTTACAGGGTGTTTTGTAGAGATAGAGTATTATAAAGAGGTGCTACTATAGCTTATGGTCTACACAGATACTATCATCATCACCTTTTTAAATTTCATTTATTTGGAATTGGGGCCATTTATTATAAATAATGCTTTTAAACCAATAAAGTACAAAATACCATTACATAACATTTTTGGGGCAAATATAATTGGTATGAAATTAGTTCCAACAATCAAAAGTAGCACAGTTATAACCTAAATTTAAGGTACTCTTATGGAACACACAACTTGTTAAATTATTATTATTTGCTGAACAAAAACGTGGATATATATATTGTTACGATAGTGGAAGTCACATGATGCTGGGAGCATGCGTGCTGGAGTTTCTGGAAGGATCATGAATTATTGGGGAGGCCCGTGTTTGTTCGAGGCACCCTCTTTTTTATTATATAAGCCTGACGAGAAAAACCAGCATGATTAAAGAGATAGATATAGATAATTAGTCAAGTGAGCAGTAGGTACCATAAGTCAAGTGTGTGAATCACTGTCATGTATTGCATGTGTTATAAAGGTTGTTAAGTTTAAAGTGGCTGTGGAAATTCTGTGTATTACAAAGTTGTATCAAGAAAGAATAAACTAGTTTTAATTCAGAAAGGACTTGTATCGCTGAAATTCTTCGGAAAGAATTTATAACGGAAATTAACAAATGAGCAGAAACGTAATAAATTGGTGTCAGAGAGTGGAACGGAAAAAAAAAAGAAAAAAAGAAAAAGATGGAAACGAGAAGTGGCAAATCAAACTACAGCTTAGCAGATTTGATGACAGCAATACAAGAACAGCAAAAGAAACAAGAAAAACGAGAAAAGACACAAGAAGAGAGATTACAGCAGTTGTTGGAGGAAAAAGAAAAGAAACAAGAAGAACGAGAAAATAAACAAGAAGAGAGACTACAGCAGTGGCAAGAAAACGTGCACCAGTGGCAACTGGAACAAGAAAGGAAACAAGAAGTACAAATGGAAAACATTAGTAAATTTCAAAGTGAATTAAATACATTAAAGGATGATTTACTGTCCTTTATACAGGGAGGATATATTAACCATGGACCTAATCAGCCCGAGACAACAGGAAGCCCCTTCCAGACCCC